TATATATATATATATATATATATATATATATATATATATATATATATATATATATATATATATATATATATATATATATATATATATATATATATAATAGAGGTGTGAACCTACACTAGTCTCACGGTTCGGTTCGGTTCGGTTACGATTATCATGCCATCGATTCGATTCAATTCGATATTTCGGTGCATCACGGTGCATTGACGGTGCTTTCCATAAACAGTTTTATATTTTCTTCACAGCAGCATTTCTTGTATTAAAATGTATGTATATATTTATATTAGGGGTGTCAAAAATAATAATTTTTTCGGTGTACTGCGATGCAGACGCGGACAATTCGGTATCGGTTCAGTAATAATTATAACCAGTTATTACTGACGTCATTTACCTCATTTGCGCTCTGTCGCGAGGTAGGCGATTGCGAGTATTTACATCGCTTTAACTACTTAAAACTCATAAACTGTGCACAATTTCACTATGTGTGTTTGCTGGATCAGTCTTTCACTGACATTTAGCGTCTGCTAAATGACTAAATGTAAATGTAAAATGTAAAATGTAAATATACAACAATAGCCCCTATTTCACTGAGATCGAGAGAATGAAAGTAGCCTACTCCATTTCTCTCTCGCGCGCGCGCACGCGCTCTGTCTCTCGCTCTGTCTCTGTCTCTGTCTCTCTCTCTCTCTCTCTTTCTCACACACACACAGTGGCCCATTTGACCTGCTGGCGTGGTCGCAGCCTTACTTTTGCATCCAGAAACAAGCGCGTGTCTGCAGAGTTTTCTCCACCGTGTCTATCATACATCAGCTGTGAGATCGCCGCTGCCGCCTGACGCTTATCAGCATCACTCATCTATGAAGAGCGCAGCGTGCAAGAGCCAATAGCAACCATTTTTTTTTTTGAGGGTGTGACCAATCAAAGGGGTGTAAGAGAACTAGACAAGGATCAGAAATTAAGCTGGATATTTATATTTGTTTATATTATTTGCTAAATGCTCGTTTTGTTGAAAGTTACAGTTTATATATCTGACTGTTTGTATTAAATGACAAAATTGTATTACAAATAGTAAAAACTATTATTTTTGACACCCCTAATATATAATATATTAATAATAATAACTAATAATAACTCATTATTAATCATTAATATTCATATACTGAGCTAATTTTGCTACAGAGTGCACGAGATTTGATTTTGCAGAAATAGTGATTTACTCAAACATGCATTTAGGTCATTGATAATTTAGTTCAGAAAATGAGGTGAACAAGAATTTCATTTACACGCACTCAATATATCACCCAACCCTATTATAAGCACAGCTTCTATTAATATAATTCAAAAAATTCCTCATGTGTGAGTAAGCCAATGGGATTGTGTTCGAGAATGAACACTGCAAATGTGCCGCTTCGATCATGAGGTCAGAGGTTAAGTGAGACTGTGATGAGAGAGCTCGTCTGTCCATGAAGCGAGAAAATGAAAACCATGCAGCTCAACAAAACAATAACAATTTAGTTGTAGTGTTAGAGAGATGATAACATTCAGTAACATAATAAACAACGGACGACTGAAGAAGAGAGATGAGGATGCCAAAAAAAAGGACGGTATACAATACCTAAATTGACGATTAGTTTGACACGGCCGCTGTCCAGCTCTAGTCGTAGTGTGTCTGCAGACTCACGTGACGTGGCAGCCATCAACAAGCCAAAAGCACGTTGGGACATGAACCTCAGAGACACGTCCTCTGCTTCTGTATGTATGATCGTCGGCATCACCACCTTCATGTACATGCTGCCATCATAGCTTAGGATTGATGCCTCTGTTGAGAAAAAAAAAAGTACATATAATTATAAAAAAAAATGTGTTTCCCTATGTCCCTTAAAGCAGTGGTCCCCAACCCCCGGGCCGCGGACCGGTACCGGTCCGTGGATCAATCAGAACCGGGCCGCACAAGAATGAATTATTTTTAAGTTGGCAGATAAAGTAGCTGCATTTAAAGCCAAACTTGATTTGTGGGGACGGCGCGTGAACAGAGTCATATAGGACTTGCATGATATGTGTGTGTGCAGGCGCTCACGGGCTGTTTCACGGCCTTAAGGTAAACAAACAACGGCTTATCATAAGCATCTTATCGATAATTATTTACACAGTTGGCATTAAGATGAACATATAAACGTTATCTGCCTAATTTCTAGCACCTAAATGTGTCTGGAAAAATGTTCAAAGGCTTTTATTCTCATAAACCGCGCGGATGTGAATGCGTCTGACTGTGATTGGCTAAAGCAGACGTCTCACGTCAGCACGTTCTCAGTGGCGTAGTGGACGGGCCCGCAGGGCACGCACGTTGTCGCGGTTTTCAATAATTAAAAATCCGGCAACCGCAATAATCAAACTCTTGGGAACAACTGTGCACGGAACCAAAGTTCACAGGACTGTGTTCTCCGGACTACTTCATTCTGATTGCTTCCCGCCAAACCGCGTCATAGCTCATACCATAAAGTTGACTTGATTTCAACTCTCCTCAACGCCCTCACAGGAGAAGACGCGCCGCGCTGTTCAAGCTCTTGGGAAAACCAATTCCCAAACTATGCTTTAGGACAGTGGTTCTCAAAGTAGGGGTCGGGACCCCCTGGGGGGTCGCGGGACAATGAGAGGGGGTCGCTTGGTGATTCACAAAAATCTAATAAATTTGAATAAACTTTTATGATTACCATTGTTAATCCATAACCTACAGAAGATAAAAAAATAGCTACATAAAAAATTAAATATCCAAAAAAAAAGCCATCAGCTTTGTTTTTTTATTATTATTATTTTTTTTTTACATTGATTGCAACCCTTAGGATTTTTACATTAGATTAATGACAAAGCAATAGCGTCAGTGCACCAGATTTTACAGCACTAGCTAAACTTTCTGACACCGTTACAGAACTCGCGTACATTTAAAATACATACAGGACACTAAACATGGAGGATGATGTGTAAGTGGCAGTCTCCAAATTTAAACCAAGAAAAGACTTGGGATGTAACTTAAATATTGTGCCCACCAGTCTAATTAGATGAGTTAATATAAAGTAATAATAATATAAATGATATGGGACTGTTGCACTTTTTTGTGTTGTCAATATACTTGTGTTTATATAGGCTGATTGGTTTGTGTGAGTGTTGTGTGCAACGTTTGTATGATTATAACCACTTATGAAAATAGTGGGGGTCGCGAGTCATTGGCATTGTCATTTTGGGGGTCCCGGGCTGAAAAGTTTGAGAACCCCTGCTTTAGGACACTAATCTTATTGGGAATATGTAAGGCAAACCTTGGCCTAATAAAAACAAACCAACAAATACAGTAACATTGCGTGACAATATTTTGGTATTAAATATTTAACAAATATGAATTAGCAAAAAGCTTGCTGTTGTATCACATGAAAACATTCACATTTGTGCCCGAAAACACGCGGTGATACTTCTTCTTGTTGTTTTCGTATGGTGACATCCAAACGCACTACCGCCACCTACTGATATGCGCGAAGTGACTCTCCAGAGTGAGAGTTGTCGATTTGAAGCGTCTCAGTCTCATTGAATCAACATGTTCTGATCAAATTCATTTGATTATTTATTGATTCAGTTTCAAATAACATGAATTAATCATTTAACATACGTAAACTTGATTTGTTCTTTTCAATCTGACAAGTTTTTATTTTGTAAATCCAATACATGCCTAGTTGATTTTTTTGAGTGAGCAGTGCACTCATTCACCTACACAAACATGTTCCAACTTTATAAATGTTGCGGTGTACCGCTTTTTCTTCATGTTCATACTCTCCTGATAATATGCAGACCTTTAATTGCAACACTATCCCTTCTAATTCAACTTTTGTTTCACTTTTGGTCGTGCAATCCGCTCTGTATTTCTTATTACGTTCCTCCTCCCTCATTTCTCTTTTACACACGAGGATTAATTTTAACGAAGTCACTTATTTTCTGTTTTGTTGCAGGCTATAATGCTACAGCGTAGCCCTGAGATGGGATTCTGGGTGGAAAAGGGGATTAAAAAATGCAACCAGGCGTGAAATACCTGCCTTGAGTTTTAATAGCGAAGAAAAAATAGGCCTTTGGCTAAAAAAGGAGCTGCCAGCCTTTGTGTAATGATGGAGGAGAGTGCATTTAATACATGAGTCATTGGGCACAATGATGAGCATTATATGTGCGCCCGTCAGTGTGATGTGCATGTCTTAAACATCTTCAGTCATGCTGGCTGTAAATACTATTAAAACAATATTACGTTAAGCTAAATGTGCTTGTTACAATTTAAAAGGAGAGTTCAACAAATAAAGGTATGTCAATTTTAATTGATTCTCGCAGCCACAATCAGGGCCTCCTTTATAAATTGTGTGTACACAGACATTTGATCTTGTGTGTATGATGAAATCTATCTGTTGATCAGGAAACTACTTAGCACAAGACGCAAGCGATTCTGGAGGAGTTGAAATTCCAATGCTTGCCAATCGCCAATTTCAAGTACAGGATTTGGAATGACTGTCGGCTTTTCATATGCTAAATAAGCTAATTGGGTGCTGTTTGTAATGTGGAGATATGAAACCATTTGGCTGCGCAGTGTTTGCAGTTCTTAAATTGCACATTTGTACGGACGCGCGTGTACATTCATTGATTTGAATTGCATTTGGGAAATATGTTTGATTAAACACATGACAGTTTCTATTCATCATTTTAGGAATACGGGTTGGCTTCCTAGTATCAGAGCAAGCTATACTGGTAATTTACAGCCATTCATGTCCACTGCAGTCTCCAAATTCTAGCCTTTGCAAATTACCTATAGGATTTATTTAAATTTTCAATTCAATTAACCTTTATTTGTGTTGCGCTTTTACAATGTAGATTATATCAAAGCAGCTTCACATAGAAGATTATAGTAAATTGAAACCGTGCAGTTCAGTTTTACATTTACATTTAGTCATTTAGCAGACGCTTTTATCCAAAGCGACTTACAAATGAGGACAAGGAAGCAATTTTCACAACTAAGAGCAACAATGAATAAGTGCTATAGGCAAGTTTCAGGTCTGTTAAGTCTAAGAAGGGAAGTATTAGTAGTATTAGTATTTTTTTTTTTTTTTTTTGGTACAGTTAGTGTGATATTCAGAGAGGCAATTGCAGATTAGGAAGTGTAGTGGAGAGTAAATAGTTGAGTTTTTAGTCGTTTCTTGAAAGTAGCGAGTGACTCTGCTGTTCTGATGCAGTTAGGGAGTTCATTCCACCAACTGGACAGATTGAGCTTGA